TGCGTTTCATAAATACATCCATTACTGGTCTCCAGGCTTCAGGCGAACAACGCCTGCTGGACAGACTTGAAAATAAATGGCTGATAAAACTCTGTATGGCTCATAGTCACAGAGGGAGATGAAGGGGGCACTATGGATGTTGTCCAGATATCACTCACTGTATAACTGCAACCAAAAATCCCTGCAATCCATGCTAATCAAATACCTTTATTTAAGATTTTAGTGCAACATTGAATTTATAATAAAAATTAAATGTATAAAAAGTAAAGCATATATAAATCAAAACGTAAATGACAATCCATGCTAACAAAAAACTTTTTTGATGTAAACAAATTTAAATGTTTTCAATTCAGCTACTACCTCGGGAACAGTGAAGTGTCATACAAGATGGAGGGCTGAGGGCTCATAGCTATTATTTCTATTTGTTGCTTAAAGGTTCAGTGTGTAGAATTTAGTGACATCTAGTGGTGAAGGTGTTTGATGCAACTGAATACCCCTCACCTCACAATCCCTTTCCAAACATGAGAGAGAACCTGTGGCAGCTTCAGTTGTCATAAAAACTAAAAAGGTGTTTAGTTTGTCCACTTTAGACGACTGTTAAAAACATGGCAGCCTCCTTAGAGACAACCCGCTCCTGATGTAAATATAAAGTATTTAAATATAAAGTATTTAAATATAAAGGGTCCATTCTAGGGTAAAAAAAAAACAACAATTTGTACAATTTATATGAAACACACTAGTGAAACCGTTTTGGCTAAATTATCTACATTAGCAAATTATTTGTGAACCTACGAACAATGCTATAAATATGCTATGGTACATGGACGGCATATAATTATGGATGACAAGACAGCTCCCTGAATGTGAAGCCTAAATATCACAATCGCCCCCTGGTGGCTGGCTGCAGTATAGGTCATAGCCCTTGCCTCCTCAATGTTAGCAAACAGAGCGTGGGTCAAATTAAGGTAAGGTAGTTGTTATCACTCAGGTGCATGTAAAAAAACTTCTGGTACACTTGGTATTAATTTGTTATTTGATGGATGACTCCACTCCACAATCACTACTGGGCAGACTCAAGATGGCAGCACAAGTATCTGTGATATCTTGGCTTCATTTTTTCTACATTTGGAGGAAGTAGAGACACATCATCCATCTTTATATGCAGTCATTAACTGTGCAATTTAACAGCTGATTCTTCTGTATGGAAATGTGGTTCATCTGTTAAAGTATCTACTATTAATCTGTTAACTCCAGCACCTCGCACCGTCCCTACGGGCCGACTGCCAAACCTGCCCTGTTTCATCCTTCATCAGGGTGTGCACTGACTCTTTAAACAACGACCATCAGGATGTGGTTTGTCTATTGACCACGATAGCCCAGGATTCTGTGTGTGTATGTGTGTGTGTAGTGTGTGGGTGAAGGGGAAGGAGAGGGGGAGAGAGATAGAGAGAGAGAGGGAGGGAGAAAATGAAAGAGATAAATTGAGAGGAGTCAGTCTGTTCTCTCTCAGCCGACCTGTGATAAGGTTTATCTCCGGGACCTAACGAGTTCAGCTCCTGAGTGGACCGGGCCAGCGGTGGGTTTAGCATGTTGTTCATGCTACGCTGCTTTAGAACTTTATTTCTTGTAGGAAATGGCTTCGGCCCCTTCGGCCACATCTCTTTTAATCTGGGATTTCGTTCTTTTTTCACCTCCTTTTCTTCATCCTTTCTACTCACTGTAACTCAGACTGCCAAGAGAAGCTGCGAGAGCTGGAGAAAGAGATGCTGCGGAGCTTTGGCACAGAGAGGCATGTGTGTCCCAGAGGCGGTGGCTGAGGCGAAGATGGAGACGCAGAGAGGGAGAAGGGCTGCTGCCGAGTTAAGCCCCTAATCACAGTCTGCTCTGCATGAAGGACTTAAAGTCACTCCATTTAATGCTACCTTCTCTTTAGTCAAAAAACGGAAAGAAATACTACTGCTTACCTCCTCAGCTCTCTCATACCTAGGCCCCAGTTGCTATCACACAACAATTCATGTGATGCATTTAAGTAATCACTAGCACACAAATAAATACAGAGAAACATGCAACCTAAGCACATACATAAGCTGCTGTACTGAAGTCTGGACCTTTTCCTGAAATGTTCCAGAAGAAAGCAAACATCTAAATCTAAATTAGTTGCTCAGGACATTTTCCTGAACATCTCCAGTCAGCTCCCCTCATCCAAGTGAGAACATGTGAGAATACTGCAACGTCTGGAAAATTCACAGAGAACTAGTTGGCGTATTAATAAACTTTCTAAAACACGACAGATGCAAATGTGAATCAGGCATAACAATACAAATATATCAGAAAAACATGCTAAAGACACGTAGACTTAGAAAGACGAGATTCAAATGCACTTCACGATGAGGTCCAAAGCTGGTGTCTGAATCTACACATAACTCCGGCTGCTCTACCCTGACGCCACCCCCTCACCACAGCTCCTCTTGAACATGTGTGACCCTCACAATCTCCTGCTGCATTCTTCATATGTGGAAGGCAAACTCCAGAAAATGTTCAGGGACAATTTTCCAGATATTTTCTGGAGCTCAAACGGCTATAAAAACACACCTCAATGAATGTTTCCCTCTCACACATCAGCTTGAACTTTAACAGCCACAACAGCAACAACACACACGCTCAAAGTCACGTGACACAATTTCATGCTGAACCACATTTGTGACTGAAAGAGCCGCCGTGCCCTTCATCCGTGTGCTCAGGTGCCTCATTTGTTTGTGTGTGAGAGGTGGAGAATACGAGCGGATCCTTCGAGACGACAGACTCCCACTGCCTCAAAATATATTAATTGACTTGGCTCCGCTTCCAGCCAGGTGTAACACACTTTTGCAGAATACTCTGGAACATCGGCGATATCTTTTGGGAAATTCCCCCTGCCGTGTCGGAGCTTCACTTTCCGCACTTCCACCTGCTGCTGCACCTCACCCTTCCCGTCTCGACCACATGGCTGGCAGACTCTGGGATGGCATATAGGTCTTAATCCAATGTTGGAGCATTGATTTATGCTTGGGTGTCCCACAGCCATTAAGATAATTGCATGATCACTTTATAACACCCTGCTAATATGCCCCCCCCCCTCCACCCACCTTGCTCAGAAAGACCCGTAACCACATTATGGTGTTATAAAATGTGGTTGGAAATATTATCTCTCAACTCTCGCAAATTGATCTCAAACCATTTCCTGTGAATAAACCCTTTTAGTCTATCTCTCACCTTTGCTGACCACTTGATCTATTGGAGGCTTCCAGAACTTAACAGCTTGTATTGATCGAGATCCTTCCTCCGGCATCTTGAGGGGATGCTCTTGTTTCACCTTGTAATTCTAATAGTCTGGGTACTTTTGAGTGAGCTCATCACTGAGACAATGTATTTTTAGCCGCTGGGGCAAGGCATCTGCACTTTGATTGCATTTAATTGAAAACGTCGGAAGTAATTGGCAAAATGATCACTGTCGACACAAATCTTTATGAAAATAAAGATTCCGACATTGCTGTGGGCGAAGGAGTTAGCATCAGTGAAAGTTAAATTGCTCTGACTCTAAGGGAGGCACTTGGCTTCCTGAGCACAAACATTACCAGTTTAGAAACATTGAACACGTAGAAACCAAGTTCAAGTTCAAAAAGATGCAGTGAATTAAAACCTTTGTTGAAAAGAGAATAATATTATATTAATTCATAATTTTTATTTGGGTAATTACTTAGAAAAAGTTTACATGCACTTTGTGGTGCTATGTCATTTGACCTTCAAACTATACTCAGGTCATCCTTGTATCCGTGTGAATCTTTGTGCCAGATGTAATGAAATTCCCTGTGGGTGTTAAGCCTAGTTTATGCTTCTGCGTCACGTCGACGCCGTAGCTACGCCCTACGCCGTAGCTTGACGTGCGCCTCCAAAATATCCTAACTACGTGGACGTCGACGGGGACCGCAAGCGCTGTGATTGGTCCGCTCAGAACGTAAGTTCCGGCAGTTGCTTTTCCGGTCTTTCTTCCTCGTCGTAAAAACCAACTCCGCAAACGTTTTCTTTGTAGCTTGCGCTTCAACATTTGCAATATAAGCATTTRTTCTTCAATATTGATGAGCTCCAACAACAAAAACAGCTGCTCCACCTCGGTCGCCATTGTTTACTGTTGTTTACTTTACGGAAGAAAGAGCGAGGATTCGGCTATAACCACACAAACACACCGCTACACCCCCTAGCGGCATGGCGGTGAATTGCAGAGCAACGCGTTCCCTCGACGCAGAACTTCGWATGCTCAACGACYBACGGCGTAGGTACGGCGTCGACGTGACGCAGAAGCATAAACTAGGCTTTACTGATCTATATCACAGGCCAGTGTGACTTTGACCTTTGGCCTTCGACCACCAAAATCCAATCAGTTCATCTTTGAATCCAAATAAACATTGTTTCTCCTTTAATATCAGCCACTATAAGAAAGAGGAATTCTAATTATTTGTGCACCCAGTTTGATTTCTCCAATAATAATTAATAATTTAATTAAAAATAAACCATGGTGAGAAATGTCATGTTTATTTTTATACTTACATACTTACTTTTGCTTATTTAAAGCATTACATGTAGTAACTAAGATGTATCCTGTAGGAGACCAGATGTTAATAAAGATTAATGAGCTTTTATAGAATTTACGGGATCTTAGATGTGATACCTTGATTTACTGATTGGTCCCACTGTGTTCCATTCCTATTTGATTTAAATGACGGGTGATCGACAGGTTCATGACCGGAGGTGAGAAGCATCAGTCATATAAAAATAAAAATAAAAACACATTTATCTTAAAGATTCAATGTGTAGAATTTAGTGACACCTAGTGGTGAAGTTGCATGTTGCAGCTGAATACACCTCACCCTTACAAACTGGACTTTTAATCATCGTCCCCTATACATGTGCATAGAACATATTTTAAACCTGTGCTCTTTAACAAAGTGTCACAGTGGATTTACCTTTCTCTCTGGTGACTTCATAGCAAAGACGGGCATGTGACAGGAAAGCAGTGGACACCAGAGCGGGGCCATCGTCTTCCCTTCGTCTTCTCCGTATAACCAGCCTGGTGAATTCTCTTCTCCTGAAAGAGAGAGGAAAAAATACTTTTTCATTTCCTCTCACAAAGGTGGATCTATGTTAATGTCGTTATCATTCACCGGCTTGTTTTATTGACATGTACTGACTGAATGAATCTCACACTCACATCTGCTGCAAACTCTCCTTCAAGAGATCAGAAACCAAGAATAGGAAGAAGGGCATTTGGCTACCTCCGTTATGTAATATGAATGGTGTTATTAGCATGTGAATGATATAATCAGCTAGAGGCCTATTCCCAGATGTAGGAAGCAAGGCCAGGTACTGCCAACACAGGGCCTCAGCAGTGATTAAACCTTCACTTAATCAACAGTGAGAGTCAGTCCCAGCAGGAAAATACAACTGCTGGATTTGAGTTATAATAATGGGTCTGGCTGGTTGTTGCAACATCTCAGCGCTCGTAGCTCCGAGCTTTACAACAGGTGCACCCCTGACAAGGCACCGCGCAAATCTGCCAAACCGCTCCCATTATGTAATTTTGTGATCATCAATTTCAATTTACAGAAACTAAATTGTGCATGAAATTCAACAGCTTGCAAAGATTTGCCCGCATACGTTTTCCATGGCATGAGCTACACTGTGCCTGCACCGTGCCTCCCAGACATCGCAGTCACACGAGACGGATTTGCATTGGTTTATTTCAGAGTTTGTTTGATAGGAACAATGTTGATTGACTCTCTCTTCGCATCTAAGAGTTTGCACTGACTGACGTCACCAAAGGTTGTAAGAATGGACTCATTCATCCGGTTTTGGCCGCACAGATTAATGCACCTTAACAATTTCAAAAGCTCTTACTGAATTAGTGAAACTACAAATATGTATCATCGCTCTCCCATGACGTCAGAGTGAAGTCTCCTCACATTCAAAGCTTGAGTGCATTTGAATAAAAAAAAACAAGCCCATGACCAAGGACAGGAATGAATGGCAGTGGATGAGGGTTTTGCTTCTTTTCAAAACTTTCAATGACTTTGCTTTTGGTGTTTGTTTGCTGTTGATTTCTCTCACATCTATTTTTTAACCTTGTGAGCACCACATCCATTGCACCCTCAAAACATTTGTAAACAAATTAATTTCATTCTTTTTATATCAGAAAATAGAGAAAAAAAAAATTTCAGGAGATACTTAATCTGACAGTGCTTTATATAAAATTCATAAAATGGCTGGATATTGCACAATTTAAAAAGTGTTAGCCTGTAGGCCGACCGTCCCTCTGCAATACCCTGCCAGGATATAAGACTTGAATGTCAGCCAGATTTGTGCAGGTGGGGCAGGGGGTCCAGCGGTTTCATTTACACCCGAGTGAACTTTCATCACTTAATTATAACATTCGCTAAAATAATGTTCTGTTCGGGGAGGCTGGGTGCAGATTTAAAAGAAACAGAAGCGTGGTGAGATGGAAGGAATGGAAAGAAACGGGACATGGGTATGAGAGGACACAAAATGGCCTTCACCTTCAGTTTCTGCCATCTAGTCGTGATGATGAATAACAATGAACAAATGATAAGCACGGACCTAAATTGAAACCGGCATCAAATTTGAACATGCAGGGCCACTCACCTCAACACAAACACACCCCACTCATAAACATACACGGCCTCAAACACACACACACAGTCAGATTTTCTCATTTATGAATGTGTTTGCATCATTTGCACCTCTAAACACAGGAGCCATAACAATCAAGAGGTGTAAATACGCTGCATTCCTCATCTGTGTCAGAGGAATCCATCACTTTCCAACTTATTTTTCAGTCGTAAATTTGCTGCTCGTCATAAATTTCAGAAAATAACTAAAAACTTGAAATTTATTACATTGACTCAGGTTAACGGGCTCATCTTTTCCTTATAGTCCTGCGTCTTGAAGTGAAATAGTACCTGAATCCATCCCTCCTTCATTTTGATGGTGTTTAACCGACTGTGGGACAATGAAGTTCTCACTGAAAACATTCTATTTCGTGTGTTTTCCCCGGGTCTCGTGCCCAGTGAACTGTGAACTGTGATTCATACAAGATTCACATCACGTTGCATTTACCAGAAATAAGCCTTACACAGACTAGGGGGTAAAAAAAGGATTCATGTCAGCTGCATAATGGTAATTACAAGTATAGGGGCCGAGGACATGCGACTTACTGTGGCTTCCAATATCTAACCATTAGTGTCACATTGCAGTCACAAAAGCCAGCAGCCAGTCCGACAAAATCAGAATCAAAATCTTTATATTATTATTTATTAAAATTAAAATCATATTATTATAATCGTTATATGATACAGATGCAAGGAACTGGTTATTTTTACATATAATTGGTTAATTATAAAAATAAAATGTTGGAATATGGAATCAGCGTATAAAGACGACTATGAAATCTATTCCTGATGATGAGGACTTTTCATATGATGGCGTAAAAAAAATAATCGTGGAAACAGAAGGGTTGTGTAATATCTGATCCGCTCATCTCCAGCGTTTTACAGCTTCACTCAACCCCCGTCATCTCATGAGTCATGAGCGTCACCTGGCCTCACTGTAGACGAAGAAACAAACACATCCTATTCACCGTACGACCTTATCAGACTATTCTCCGCAGCGAGAGAGCCGTGCATCACACACCTGGAAATATCAATAGAAAAACCACTCGATGAGCGTATCTGTGGATGCTGCTGTCATTTCACTGTTTACGGACAAATGATCCCACACACACACGCCAGCTTGATCATGAGATCACCTGGGCATCCTGCACACTGAGGTAAACAATGATTTTCACTTGCCTGCATGTTGATATGTGCATGGTTTTCTAAATACACGTTCAACTAGCCCATTTCCCCCAGAGGTCAATGGGAGAAGAGTCAGGTGACCGCAGTGTTTGGAGTTTGATCCACTTCCAACTTCTACAGTTTTTGCGATGCCTTATTAAACTGGATCTATACTGTGGATATGCAGTTGCAGCATGGATGCACTGCACGGAAAGACTGACAAGTAGATTAGTGCAGTGCTTCCAAGCCGGAGGTATACGTTTCCCAGGAGGTGCTTCTGCAGCTGCCAGAGAAAGACTGTAAAGCAACTGAGCTGAAAAATAAAAACTATGATTTAGTTTTAAAAAGTTTACTTTTAAAAAATCCACTTAATTGTGTTGAAGAGCAAAATGAACGCACAAGTACCTATACTAATTGGTGAGAGGTAAACTTGTAGATATGATAATCCCACTGAGTGAGCTGTAACACCTGAGCACAACGTTCTATTTGAAGAGTGCACGAAAACTCATTAGCGGGAAAGTGAAGAGGTGGAAATAGCTAAAAGTGCTAAAGCTAAAAGTGGTGTCAGTCCATGTTGACAATGTTCCAAACCGTCTGAGCACAGACAAAAGTTACACATTTCCACGATCACTTTGCCTCGATGACCTTTGTAAAACGAGTGAAGTCTGTGAAGAGGCCGATATGAAAGCGCTGTGGGGACAGATTAAAGAAAAGTGGTTTGTGAACCACTTGATCACTGGACCAGCACAAATAGTAATTACATCATTTTTATTCCTAAAATGCAGCAAACAAACAGCCGCGAACACACAGTGAGTACGATTCCCACCTCCTGCAGGGCTGTGGTCATTTCTACAGCAATGTTCTCAACAAAGGAATCTCCTGACACTGTTTAATGACTTATTCCACAGATTTGATTGAAATGTGTAGTTACAATCAAAGCTAATCTTTCTGATATCAAATGCAATCACAGAGGAGGGAGACCAAGGCTGCGCTCAGCACGGACACAACGTTTATTTAATCATGTGAGTGTTGCCATTGTGGCAGAGAGAGTCATTGTTGGGTTAACATATTCTCCTGGAAGAAAACTCTGGGGTTTATAATCATGTTTAATATTTCAAAATACACTAATTGATGTTACAGTCTCTGCTTTCGTCATTTCTGTCAACTGATGCAAACACAAAGCACCAGCTCTTGTGTTTGTAGTAAACTATACTTACTGTGCACTTCGTTTTTAATACGGCCAACACCTCGGGACACACCCACCAAACGATATGAATTATGACCGGAAGCCCATCGCACACGGACTCAAGCAAAAGGTCAACGTCATTCAACTTTGAAACCGTAGAAAAAAATGGTGCAAAATATTATGCGACTGAACGCTCAGCAGACAAAGACAAACAACAGCCCAGATATAAATTCAAAATCCAAATCGAAGACCAAACACAGTGAAAACAACAAGGCCAGATATCAAGGCCGAAGTCAAAACAACTGAAATGCAAATCTAGAATCAACAAATTTCATAAACAAGGCCAAACAGAAAGTCCACAAAATCCAGAAGCGGGTCAGATCCTGACAGCTACGACTGTTCTGATGTTAACAAACTACAGTGTAGTGAGTTCCACTGAGCCGCAGTTTATTTATCTGCAGTGTTAATTAGAGGCAATCAATATGAATGATGAGATTCCTCAAGCTAAAGGTTAAGGTCAGGTCTGTCTACAAAACTGGGAACTCAATCGCAGCTTCTGTACAATAACTACGTCTAACAGCATCATCTGTGGGGGTGGAGGGTCGGAATAATAAGTGGGCGGATTCAGTTCCTCGCTTTCCTTATTCCAATCATGCTTTTGTTTCAAGTCTTTTTTACTGATGAAGATTAATTTGCAGAGCATGCCGCTCTTTCAACCCCAGTGACACGCAGGGCAAAGATATAGACTAATTAAATACACCAGTGCAATTTATATTTCCCATGGATCAATGCGAGTGTGGGATCTGTTAATTAAATCTGTGATAATGTTTACTCATCATAAACATTTCCCATGTTTGAGCACGGCGAGATAGGGAGATAATCTTCGCTGTCTGACAGATTAATTTTAAGGGACTAAGGGAAAATCCTTCCAGCACATGCGGAGTGAATGTGGGCTGGCTCTCCTCCACGTGTTTATTAATCGCCTGACGGCACAGAGCAAAAGAGATAACACCTATATGTCAGGTATAGCAAATAGATGCAAAGAAATCAGTC